GATATCATAAAATCAAGACATAAAATATCTACTGAACCTGAAGTCTTATATCCATCCCCCACCAACTCGTTTGTCATGCTACCAACGGATGTTTTAACAGTGAGACATACATTCATCTTACAAACTGTCCTAATGAAACATTCTCAATGTAAATACGATCCGGAACTGCTAAAGGACAAACACATAAAAGGTACTATATGTCGCACCCAATCCTTCCATTCTGTTACCTCACACAATGTCTTCTGTTTTCTAGGACCGTACATGTATCATAAACTAAATAATATCCTAAATTTCTATCCTTTACCTAAATCTAGTTGTAAATCAGTTCTAACAAAATATCTGAAAACTGTAGACTATGAATCGACCGAAAACCTATTAAAGTCGTCTATATAATAAATAGTAATCTCACTCAGCCACGAACTCCCTATAGTCTCGCATCTTTTCACCATTTTGGTTTAAAATGCAATTTTGTCTAATATGTTAATCCCACACAAGCACTCACACACACTTACACTCACACATACATTCAGACACGCGCAGATGCACGCGCACACACGCGCACACGCACACACACACACACACACACACAAACACGCGCACGCCCTGACTTTCACGTGTTCAATAAACTCTATACATAGTACATACACCCATTGATGTCTGAAATCTGCAATTACTGTAGTTAATTTTATTTATTTACATAATTATAATCTACTTTTTTGATTTGTATTACTCAGATTGTTGCTCTAGCCGCGGGGAGCCCTGGTGACCTGTAATACAGGTTTTTATACCTACATCAGGCACCAGTCTCTCACAAGTTAGGTACCAGTCTGGCAATTTTGTAATACTTAGCATTAAGTTTACTTATTGTGAAGAGAAAATAAATTCATTCATTCATTCATTCTTTCAATTGTGACTTAGCCAACGCGGCGGCTGCCTCTGCTCTTTCGAGATCTGAGCGTTCGAATTTAATACGCGCTTCCAATTCGGCCTTTAGGTCCGCTGATCGTGATGAGCTGCTGCCATTTCGCGATCTATTTCCATTTCCTTGCCCGACCACTGTCTTTGTCGATTCCGCATCTTCGGTTCCATTTTGACCGACGTTCTCGGCGATCGCTTCGGTCCTGGACGCGTCGTATATTCTATGTACCTCTAAATTGCGTACCATCGGCCTCCATCCTGCTGCTCGTTGCTGGCATGGACGTTCCCGAATCTCACATGTCGGTTGACGTCTCGGTGGTAGCCCCACTTGATGTCGTAATTTTATTCAATCCTGATGACTCACTTTTCTTTGCCGTCCTTGAAACCCCGGTTCGCGTCTTGGTTCCATCGGACCTCTTACTCTAGTCCTGTATCCTCTTCATTCTTCAAGATGAGAACTGTGGCTTACATTGTCCCTAACTTCCCTACTTTTCCTATCAGTCCCTATCAGTCCCTACCACTCCCTATTAGTCTCTAACAATCTTGGGTGGGACCTACCGCAGTGAACCGCCCAAGAATGGAACGCACAGGATGGGTAAAGAAGGAACTGTCCATCAGTCGACGTACACTCCTCTGGTTCCTCAGAGTACGGGAGCGACGCCTGCACCCCTTGGCATGCCTACTCACAAGCCCTCATAGACACAAGACGTAATTGTACAGCTGAGCTGTTCAATTTCCCCGAAAGAACAGTGGCAAGTGGCCCCGATCTTTTGCACTGCCCCGAAAGGCATTAGCCCAAGTGCCGACTTTGGCACCATTAGGTGTGGGTGCTTGGTGCTATGTTATGTTTTCCGGTAGCAGTAGACGCTTTGCCTAGGCGCCCTATCTCGTCCGGTTAAAGCACAGTCAGTGCCTTACACAGGCACTCTCGTTCGGTCACAATCAGTGCCTTACACGGGCACTTTCGTCCGGTTGCAGTCTTCTTGCTTCTAAAATGCCAACCACCTACTGCTATTCTGTCGCTCCCCTTGTGGCGTCGCAGGTTGGACTCAATGGCGCACTATGCAGCGGTTTTCTTACTCCAGTCAGCTATCGAGTTTGAAGTCAAGTCTTCGGTGTTTCTGGTCCTGCTCCGATTCTGATCCGGGACCAACTTAAATGGATGAATCTCCCTCTTCCGATGTTGGCCTCCTAAATAGTTCGAAGGACCAACTAATAGTGGAGCACGGGTCTTGCGCCCCCGATCATGGATCAATAAACTATTGATCTTCTATTACCAATACCACGCCACGTTAGGTTCGGGACAACGAGGTGGGCGTGACCCTAGATGAAGACATTCGATTCCGTACACAACCGCGTTTTTTAAAAGAAAGAGTGGACGATTAAGATGACGGGCCCCTATTGGAATGGTTCCGGTCTTGACGTCTATCGTATGTGCCTATGTGGATTGTATCTTCTTACACTGAAGGATCTTGAAATAAGTTTCTAAAAAAATATTTGCTTTGTTTGAGACATATACAGGATCATTATAAATACATAATATGAAAATGGACTGTAAAAAACAAATTGATGTTTTCAGTGGATACAAAATGTAATCAATGTGTTCAATGATCCGATCACTTAATCGGGAATCGATTTTACATTTTCATGAGGCATAATGAAAAGGATTTATTTTCACAGTTGTATAAAATTTTCCATTTTACTGGGATTCCAGTAAGCTGGTAATTGTAAAAAAAGGAACAATGAGCTCAATCTTTTAAAAGGGAAATGTATTTATTTTCTAATGTATTATAGTTTTTTTTTATATAAAAATTGTATTGTAGTGTAGAGTAGCCCACACGACTTACATATTAATGTTAATTGTAGCTGAATAAAAGTAGTTTAAGTAAAGTCTTAAACTGAGAAACACCTCTTCTAATTCATATAACGCCTTGCCTATATTACATGGCAACCCTGCCAGGCGGTGCGTTGCGGCACTACATACGCACCACCGGGCCTATTTAAAATTAAAAGACACATATAAATATTACCATTAAATTAAATAATGAAGTAAAACGTTGGACAAAAAATAACGAGGAGGCCACTAATAATGTTATAGAAGCTGAATGCAAAATAAAAAATATAATGTACTCGTATATATGAAGTAATATATAATAATAAAAGTATCGTGAAGACAGCTTATGGTCCCCACACACGGTCAGTTAAACTAACATCAGTTCAACTGATCACTTCAATCGAATTTAATCCAAAAAACATCGACACACACGGTTAGTTCAACTGATCAGTTCAAACTGGGACTGTTGATATTTTTAAAATATCGGATTTTCAATATATCGATATTATAAACACATCAATATCGGAGTTTTATATACCGAAAACAGCGATATATCGATATATCGGCTTTATTTAAAAGAAAACGATCGTATGTCAGCTCCATCCATTAGCTTTTTTGAAAATGAGTCCAAACACGATGCTTCTACATAGTAGGATCACTGAGATCCTTTACCCACCTACTGAGTCTAACATAAGAAAGGTGACATCATCACAGTCACCTTGGTCTCCATCCTCCGTCAAACGAACTTCTCTAAATATATAAAATAATATAAAATGTTAACTGCATAGAAATAATGTAAGCTAGTAAGTACTTACCAATAATTAAAAGCGGATTACGGTGCGCTCGAAAAAATCCGTGGACTGGCGTCAGTTAAAAATTTCAACTTAAGATTCACACTCACGATCAGTTTTTGGATGTACGTTCAACTGAGCAGTTTAACTGACAGCACGTCCGAAAAAATCAGTGTGTTGCCGTCAGTTAAAAATTTCAACTAAGATTTTACATTCACGGTCAGTTTTTGGATGTACGTCAGTTAAACTGATCAGTTTAACTGACAGTGTGTGGCCACTATAGGAATAATGAGGATAATAAAATTGATTTTTTTATATAATGACCAAACATCAAAATTCAAGAAACGGCAGATTAATTTTAAAAGGAAATTGCACCCACAGGGTTTTTTTTTACTGTTCTACTGCTGCTATGTATGCACCCTTAGTTCCTTTTTTTTCCTGTTTTTTTGTTCATCCTTTTTTTTTGTTTTATATATATATATATATATATTCTCTTTTCTGTCTTATTGCTACTTTACAAAGATTACTATAAGCATGCTTCTTTCAAAATTTGTTATACTATTTCGAATGCATACTAAGATACATTTTACTTGTTTCACTATAAATAGTAACTTTTCCTATCAATATTACAAACTTATTTTCGCAAAATCACTTTTATTATTATATTCCTGTGCCATCCATTATTCTTTTTTTTTTCTTTTTTTTTTTGTTATATTCCCTTTTTATTTTCTCTTTTTTTTGTTGAATGTGTAATTATGGTATTTTTTAATTTATACGTATTTACTCTTATCACGACTTTAAGCTACTGTTTGCGTTAAATTCTGTTACAAACAACCTTTTTTTTTACAGTTATACCTAATTTTATACATATAATAATTACTATAAAAACTTGTTGTTATATTATTATTTTCATTTTTTTTATTATTCACGGTTATAACCTTATTATTTTTTAATATACTAACTATTATATAAACTACCTATTATATTATCATATTTTTTTTATACAATTTTAATGCAATTGTTGCAACTTTGCTATTTTGGACCCATTTGATTTTCCTGCAGTACGAACGACTATTTCTGCATATTTTAGGAAATGGGTTCGCCAGTCATCGTTGTTGATAACGTATTTTAGGGTAGTATCATTAATTGCAATTCCCATCTTCTGCTCGCATTCCAATCTTTTCATGGCGAATCTCGGGCAATCTAATAACAGGTGTTGTTTCGTCTATTTCACTACTGCATACACAAGATGGGGACTGCGTTAATTTTTACTTGAATAAATATACCTTAAAACATCCATGACTCGTTAATAATTGTGTCTTAACGTTATCTAGTTAAATATTATTAAGTGTACTATGTTCTTGTCTTATGTCCGGAAAGAATATCTTCGTGACTGCTCCTGTTGTAACTTCATTGTATCATTGTTGCCACCTCATGCAGGTAGAGTCCCTGGTGAGTCACTTCGTGAAGGACAGAGGGCACTTATCATAAGCTGCGGCTTGTTTGTTTGTCAGTGCTACCTTCTTTGCAAGTTCATCAGCTCTTTCTTTGCCAGGTATACCAATATGCGATTTGACCCAGTAGAACTCAACATCACCGTCTTTATTTTTTAATTCTCTTAAGCGTTCTCCTATTTCAACTGCAAGAGGTTGGAGAGATGAGCTGTCGGTTAGGCACTCTAAAGCTGATCGTGAGTCACTTAGTATTATTGCTTTCTTTAATTTGCTGATCTTGCACATCATGTCAAGTGCTTTAAGAATCGCAGTAAGTTCAGCCTGATAAACACTACAGTAACTTTCTAACCTAAATGTTGATTTGAGTATTTCTTTACCCTCTCTCCACACACTGACAGCGCCACCTACTTTGTCTTCTAACTTACTGCCGTCCGTGTATAGCCTCGGCTTAAGGCCGTCGATTGCGTTTTCTTCTTCATGTGAGACTACCATCTTGAAAGATACACGGTACCTTTCAGCGAGATGGGGTAAACAGAATGGGCTTATTGGTTTTTCTATGGTTCTTCCTGGTAGTTGCTTTAGTGGCTTTCCTCGCTTGATTTCGTAGAGTGAAAGATGTTCCAATGCTCTTAAGTTAAGAGGGATGATTCCTGATAGTAACACGCGAAACGTAAATGAGATTGTCCTGTGGCCTTTGCAGATCTTAATTGTTAACATTCTTGTTATACGTTCTAATCTTTTCCTCATGTATTCTTTTTCGCTACCGTGGCCCACACACTTGCCACATAAAGAATAGTTGGCTCCACTACTGCTACATATATCGTTTTGACTATCTCTGAGTTAAGACCCCAGTTGGCTCTTGCTGTTCTCGATATGGTTTTATAGATGTTTAGTGCTTTTCTGAGAACTTCATCTAAATGTTCTACGAAATTTAGATTTGTGTCAAAAGAACACCAAGTACTTTCAGACTCGAAGATGGTTTAATAATTATATTGTTCATTTTTATTGTAGGAATTTCATACGATAGCTTCTTTATAATTACTATTGCTTGAGTTAAAAAAAAGAATAAAGAATGAAATGCAAATTATAACGATGAAGAAATATATAAGGGAAAGTAGTACTATGTATATTATAAATGTCCGGATTATATGACATGTTTTGATGAATACGAATAAATAATATTATAAATGTTCGCGAAAGTCAAACTGTAATATTATTTTATACATAATTGTGACTTTTCCGGACCGATACGACTTAGGGACTTTCAAGAAAAGAGCTTGCTCCTTTCTAAAACGTCGGCAACGCACCCGCAATTCCCCTGGTATTGCGGTTGTTCATGGGCGGCGGTAGTCACTTGCCATCAGGTGAACCGCATGCTTATTTGTCTTCTGTTCTATAATAAAATACAATAGTAACACAGGTTGTCTAAACTACTTACAAAACTTATTTAAAAAAGAGCTTGGAAGCGACTAACTCCGTGGGAAGAACATAAAATTCCACACTTTTACGCGACAAATCTGAAAATCGACATGACGTCTCGTTCCTGATTTTTTATTTTTTTTTATTTACTCAAATGATACAGTATATAGCCTTAACAAATTACAGTATATTATAGGCCGACAGTAAGACAAGATGTCTGCTTGGAGTAAGAAAAACCTACTTTCCACATATTCGTCTTTTAACATGATTTATTCACGTATTACTATAATTACGAAGTAAAATCGATAATAATATTTAAAATTCATATTTCTATAATATTACCAAGATTTATCGTTGTCATTATTTCAATATATCAAAACAGTCTTCTTTATCATTGCCCAATATTACAAGTTTAAATTATCAATTAAGAGTACATTATTTTATTTGTAAATATAATTCAAACTCTATATTTTTTGAATAATCATAATATTTCTTATTAAAGGAATAATTCGTCGATTTCTTATATAATGCTCCTGGCTATTGACGTTAAAGTTTTGAATAAAGCTAAGATAAAGGATAAATAAAGTTATACTGAATTGTTTTTCTATCGTTGGGATCAATTTGTTCTTTACTCAGTTGTATGCTTAAGGGTCTTTGAATACAACAATAACTTTAAAATGAAAAACAATTTTTTAAAGTTTAAACATCCAGTATAAATTGTTCGTCGATGGGAGTTGCAATGTTGTAAACATTTTGTACTGCTCTTTTTGATTTTATTTTAAACATTTTTTTTTCTGGAATAATAAGACAAACAGACATTATGTATATAATATGTAAATAATTATATTTACTTTTGCACATTTACATTTTATACATATTACATACATTTTAGGTATATAATGTTAAAATCTTATGGTCAAATAAAAGAATATAAAATTAAAATATAGTACATCGAAATAGACCTGATATCCTTAGAAATGCCGTAACATAACGGCGCTACATCTTGACATCCATTACTACCCATAATGAGGAGCTGTCAAAAGGAGGAGCCGTTAACAATTTGCTACACCAGATAATGAAAGTAAGTTCCATACTATGACAACAAATCCTGTTAAAATATTGCGTTTAAGCATCATTAGCAATAAGAAACTCATATATTTTTTTTATTTGTTTCTATATTATAATATATACGCAAACATAATCTATACTATAATAATCTCTACAAGGACGATTTCAGTGCATTGAATATTTTTTAAATTTTAATTAGGGTATACTATATTGTCGATAGAGATGCCCATACAACAAATTTTGAAAGCGTTAGCTGTCTTTTTGTCTGAAAACATCACACAAATCAGGGATCGTATTTGGAAGGGATTTTCATTGTAGCTTTACGTAGAGTCGAACCTTTAGTAACACAATAAAAGCCGTGGTAACTCAATGGTTAGGCGCTGGCTGTAAAATATAGAGTACGCGAATAATTCGAGTTTAATCCTTAATTATCTATATGGTTGGCGCTTAACATCTTGAAGAAATCTACATGTATGAAAAAATAAAAAAAAAACCTAAGACGTCAGTTAACCACATAAATTGTAAAATAAAAGGTGCTAAACATATTTATTCTGATATCTTTATTTTTTTATATTTATCTGTGTTATTTACGTATATTACACAGTTAATAAAAAAAATTATGGTCCACACAGTCAAATGCCTTTGAAAGATCACAGAAGAGATCCAATGTCATTGTGATCTTTTAAGGCCTGTGAAACACGTGATTCTAGTTTTATTTCAATTATTTATTTAAATGCTACCCGCATTAGTTGTGGGTTATTCTTTCGTGATGCTGGATTGCTTGTCATTAAAAATGTTATTTTATTCGACTTCAAAAAGACCTAACCTACGAAAACATACAAGCTGCCGCAATACATTTTATTAGATGATACGAGGCGGACACTCATTTTTCTTAAATCCCTCCCAGTAATATGTAGAGTGCCTAACAGTGGCTGTAACTATATATTTAACACAATTTATCTCATTTTTATTGTTTTACTGCGATACAAAGGTTTTCTTTTTATAAGTGTTTGTTCTTTCATAATCGCTGCTGATCTTTATATTACTCGTAGACGAAATAACTTGAACTAAGTGGTCACAATGTAAGTTATCATCTTGTATTTCTCAAAATATATTAACCGTACAAACGTGGTGATATAAATGTGTGCCGAAGATTTACTTTGTACGTTCGTTTTCAATTAGTGCATGTCTTTTGAAAGTGCTCAAAGTGAGATGTTCGTAAAAATTAAAGGCTTCTTCGCATTTGCCAAAGGGTGTTTTGTAGCAAGAAAAGTCAATCGCACTGCCCTACTGCGTATTGACGGACTTATAATTTTTTTATTTAATTTTTAAATGTAGATTAATTTACTCACGATTTATTTTTTTCAGCAATGAGTAAGTAGTAAGTTAAATATTTTATGAGTTGTTAACAATTTTCTTGGCAGGCGGGTTGGCAACCGCAGGCTTTCATTATCTTGAGTTGTTATCAGGAAGATGCTGCTGCCTATCTCCTGTTTTACTTCTCTCTGTCGCCTCTTACTTCTCTCACGGGATGATGTAATAAAATATCTGTTTCTATTTAAGCAAATCAAGGTACTGGTGAGTATTTCCTTTACAATGTCTATAAACAGTGTAGTACTTACCGTGTGGTGGCGGTGTCAGAATATCCACTACCCGTTAGGCTCCCTAGAGTGTCGTAAGAGGTGACAAAGGGAAAAAAATAAGGTGATGAGCAGCAGCGTGTTTTTAATAACGATTAAAAAAACTGCGGTTACAAAACCTGCTAGCCAAGCGTGGCAACTATAAAAAATATTCCCCCTATGAGGCAATGTATGGGGGAGTTCTATGGTCAGCAGTGAACTTTAATAGGCTGTTATAATTATAGTTGCGGTCAATAAACATGGCGTAAACATACGGATAATTGACTTGTTTTAAATGTTCAAAATACAGTTTTTGTTTTAGTAAAATAATTAATGTGTGACCCAAAAATTTCAAAGTAATATCGTTTCTTCCATATTAGGCCCATAGTATTTAACAAAGCTCTAAATTGAGAAAATTATCAATCGCGTGAATTAGTAATTCTGTTAACTTGGTTTTAAAATAACCAAAGTAAAATATCATACTAATATTTGAACGTAATCGCGGGCGTAGCTAGTAAACAATAAAACATCACAAGTAATCTTCCTTAACATTTCGTTTCCTTTTCACGGTCCTTCTTATTCGGTAACAAAAGAAACGATAAATTTGCTGGCTACAAAATAAATATTAATGAAACCTTGGGATTTCAATTGCAATTCTTTTCAGTCCCACAAATTACTTTACTGTTAAATAAATAAATCTTTGTTTTGTAAAACGAATCATCATATCATTTGTTTCATCATTCATTTGTTTTTCATTCATTTGTTTTATAGGATAAGGGTGACAAACGAGCACACGGTCCACCTGATGGCAAGTGGTTGCTGTGGCCCATAGACATCTACATTTGTCCTCGATTACAAATCAAAATGCAGATGCGTCGTCACCCGTGAGGACTATGATAGAATGCCTCGTTTCCAGTAAAAAGGGTCTTCGGTTCTCTACACTCACCATACGAAACACTGCAGCGTTAAGCTGCTATTTTACGCTGGTATTCTGTGAGAGCATGTTCCTTCCCCGGGCGAGCCGACCCATTCGTGCTACAACTATACTACTAATATAGCTGCAGCATAGCTCTGCCACGTAAACAGTAAACATTCATGAACTACAAACTATCAAAGGTTCTCTCTATGATTTACTATAGGCTTATTCCTTAGATTACACCTTAACGCGATTTGGCCACGCTTAGGATGAGCAATTGCAGTTTTATTATTATTATCAGTTGTTATCAGGATGATACAACTGCCACCCTCCTGTTTCCATATACCTCTGTTACCTCTTACGATACCCACAGGAAGACATGGGATTATATTGATTTGTCGATGGCGTGACTTTGTACCAAACTATTATTCTGGTCTAACTACTACTCACACGTAGGAGCCTGGATAATT